TTGGAGGTTCATGGCACTGATCAACCAATGATAACTGTACTTGTAACTATATTCGGGCACTTACGGGGCTTCGAAGCGGGTTATAAGCACAGTGATAATGGGATCACATGTACCATGAACCTCCAAGTAACAGGCATAGGAAATTTTACAGCCGTAACAGGCTCGGGCATGTTTAAACCTCCAATGAATCCCTAAACCCTAAGAACCCTAAACCCTAAACCCTAAACCCGAAACCCGAAAACCCTAAACCCTAAACCCTAAACCCTAAACCCTAAACCCTAGCCCTAAACCCTAAACCCGAAAACACTAAACACATGCGCCAGGGCTCCACGGCTCCGCCACTGTCGAGGTCGAGCAGCTTAAAAAAAGACCATGCATCCCAAACATCAAGGCCTCAGCAATCGCGCTTAGGGTTTAGGGTTTAGGGTTCAGGGTTCAGGGTTTAGGGTTTAGGGTTTAGGGTCTCGGACTTTGGGTTTGGGACTTTGGGTTTGGGCCTTTGGGTTTAGGACTTATAAAGACTATGAATCTCCAAGCAGACGCAGCTGGGTTCAAAGTCCTGCTGATTGTTGTTGTTTGGCCTGGTGGGGCTTAATAGGAAATTGAGGACCCAAATCCCCAAGTAGACGCACTCTGATGCGACCTTGTTTCTCCCCCTTGTGGCACTGCGTAACACAACGTGACACGGTTTTGGTGAACGACCATGCCCAGCCCATGAAGGCGAGTAACACCATATACGCCAAAGAGAGCTCAGCTTCTGCTTCACGGTTTGTCGTCTTTCCCTAAGGGCACGCCCCACACAAGCCAGCTGAGAACATAGCCCATGTGACATGGTATCAGAGTTTTACAGCGTTCCCCGAGGGGCACACTGGGATTCGCCAAAGGGAGCTCAACTTCTGTTTCAGGGTTTTGCGGTCTTTCCCGAGGGGCACGCCTCACACAAGCCATCTGAGAACATAGCCCCTCTGACATCGTATCACAGTTTTTGTGGCTTTGCCCGAGGGCACAGCGGGATTGGGACAACTTCCGTCTTGCGGGACAACTTCCACGTCTACCCAGTAGGGTTTAGGGTTTGGGGCTCAGGGTTTAGGAGTTTAGCGCTTAGGGTTGAGGGTTTAGGGCTTGGGGTTTTGTTGCCCTGTGATGCTGTTTTAGTTGCCAGGCGTCTCTTGATGCCGTGGGGAGGTAAGTCGAGTTCGGGGGCTGCGCTTCCGCTTTCGAACCCTTCGAGAACTTCGATTTTTGCAGTGTTGTTTCTTTACGTCGTGGTGTCATGGTTTCGGAAGCTTTTGGGTCTGTACTTCTGGCAAAGCCCTAAGAAGGCTGCATCACCATCGTCGCCATTCCGATGAAGCCCTAAACCCAAGAAATTAAGCCTTCGGGTGACGAGAGAGTGAGTTTTGGTTCATCGGCCAGTGGCTCACCCTCCTTGCGTTCTGGAGGTGGGTTTGGATTTCGGGAGAGTGTTGGGTGTTGAGGGTTTAGGGTTTAGGGTCTCGACGGCCTCCTTGCTCACGCAAACTTCCGTCAAAGGGGTGTCCATATGGCTAAAAAATAGGCACAGGACGATCTGTTCCAAGGCAACCAAGCGTCCCAAGGTTTCAAAATACTCCACCACCGCCTGAGACGGGATTTCGGCTGAGGCAGGCTGGAACGTGTGTGGCTCGAGATTGGTTCTCCCACTGCTGACGCGCGCGAAAGAGCCCTCACTGCAAGAACCCGCAGCCCCCCCTACGTGAAGGATAGATAAAGCACCCCAAACCCTAAACCCTAAACCCTAAACCCTAAAGTACCACGCAATATGAGGGACAAGCCCTTATCCTGGCCACATCCATCCCCCCCCCCCCCCCCCCCCAACCCTGAACCCTAACCCCTGAGCTGCTAAACCCTAAACCCCAAACCCCAAGCCCCAAACCCTCAACCCGACCCCACAATCACCCTAAACCCTGAAACCCCCAAACCCCCCAAACCCCCAAACCCCCAAAACCCCAAAACCCCAAAACCCCAAAACCCCAAAACCCCAAAACCCCCAACGCCCCCTCTTCATGCTGATGCCAATGCCAACGCCCCTAGGCCTGGGAGCTGATCCCCTGCTCGAACATGGAGTACCTATCGGGGGGAAGTCAGGGAGGGTTTAGGGTTTAGGGTTTAGGGTTTAGGGTTTAGAGTTTAGGGTTTAGGGTTTACATAGGGTTGAGGGTTTGGGGTTTAATTAGGGTTTAGGGTCAGCAAGGTTCATTGAAGGGCCAGGTTCGTGCGAAAAACCACCTGCCGAACAGCTGTAGAGCAGCTGCCCCCCAAGGCACGTGATGATGCCATCCCTCTCGGCGCCCAGCTTGCTGAAAAGCGCTCGGATTCTTAGCAGATGCGGGTTTAGGGCTTAGGGTCTAGGGTTTAGGGTCTAGGGTTTAGGGTTTAGGGTTTAGGCTCGTTGATGCAAACCCTCAGTTCTGGAGGCTGGGAGACAGACTTGTGCACTCCACATGCGAACACAGGCTCCATACCTGACAGAATGTTGGATGTTACAAGCACACTGAGGCACGGAGGCTTGAAGTTGCAACAGGGGTGGAGGCTTTAGTCATTTCGGGAGTTTTGGGATTTTAGGAAACCTGAGATGAACTTGATTTTGCAGGTTTTCGGGGCAAGGTCGGGGAGGGGGTCCTAGAGGGATAGAAGAGCGCCCATGTTCAGAAAGGGGGCTGGTCGGGCGCATCCCGAAACCCTAAACCCTAAACCCTTAAACCCTAAACCCTAAACCCTAAACCCTTAAACCCTAAACCGAAAAGACGGGATTATGAAGGCATTTTTTGGGGTTGTGGTGGTGCTTCTCCTGATTTTTTGGCAGCCCAGAAGCTTCTCCACGTGGGCTTCCTGTTCACAAGAGATCTTAGGCTCTCTAGGCGTCTTAAGGGTTTAGGGTTTAGGGTTTAGGGTTTAGGGTTTAGGGTTTAGGGTTTAGGGTTTAGGGTTTAGGGTTTAGGGTTTAGGGTTCGGGTAGGGGCCTTCTCTTGAGATCTGCGTTGTCCGTTCTGTTAGGGGCGTGAGCATCGGGATGCTTGCTTGAGTACCCCTAGTGCCTCGTGTAGCCGTGTACAGCCATTTCAGGTTGCCTTTATCTTGAGTGGGGTTCTCATGGAGCAGCAGCCCCATCCGTTCAACCCTCAACCCTCAACCCTAAACCCTAAACCAGGGACCCAAACACCTAAACTGTTGCTTCCTTGTTGGCCAGCATGGACTGGACCACATTCGCGTGATCGTTCTGCGCGCTCTCGATGGCACTCTGGCAGAACCTGTGCTCAGTGGCCACAAGCCCTCAACCCTAAGCTCCCTACTTAGAGGTTCATAGTATTGTTAACCAATGATAACTATACTTATAACCCAGTTATAATTGGTTCATAAGTGCCATGAACCTCCAAGTATGCCCCGGCCTTGATATGTCTGTCTTGGTTAAGGACTCGCGCCTGATTGTTTCTTTGGGCTCGCCCGAAGACAGGAAGATCCGGTCATGGTGTCAGGATGCTTGGAGCCACCCTAAACCCTAAACCCTAAACCCTAAACCCTAAACCCTAAACCCTAAACCATCCGTGAAAGGAGCTACAGACCAGCCCCTGCACGCAAATGGCGAAGTGTGGGGATGGAAGTTGGGCAAACTCCCTCCCTTGCGGGCAGGTTATAGGAATGGGATCGCCATGTGCATACCGCTGAGGCTCGGATGTAGTGTACCCGAAGCCCCAAGCCCTAAACCCTAAGCCCTAAACCCTGAACCCTGAAGGTGTCGAGCTCACAAAATCCAGGCCAGGAGAGACGGGGGGCACGCCGGTCAGCACGTTCAGGACCGCGAAGTACCTAGGCAAAGTGGCAGTGCAGGAATGCTGCACTGTTGATCATCCTGAAGTTTTTCGACCCTAAACCCTAAACCCTAAACCCTAAACCCTAAAGGCTTGGCAAACGTGGGAACTCTGTTGGAGTTGTATGGGCCAGAGAAATACTTGAAAGGCCAGTAACCATATCATGAATAAGCGCACCCTTTGTTTGGGCTTGGCTACTTGAAAAGGGAACCTGAAACCCGGAAAAAAGGGAAACCCCACACCCTGAACCCTGAACCCTGAACCCTGAACCCGAACCCTAAACCCTAAACCCTGAACCCTGAACCCTAAACCCTAAACCCTAAACCCTAAACCCTAAACCCTAAACCGGGCTACCAAGAATATTGTCAAGGCGGCACCTGCGGTTCAACCACCTGAGGGGTTGTGCTCGGTTGGCCTTTGACGAAAGTGCTGAGAGAACCCCTAAACCCTAAACCCTAAACCTAAACCCTAAACCCTAAATCCTGCATGCTAAACCCTAAACCCTAAATCCTACACCCTAAACCCTAAATCCTAAAGACCCTGTGTCTTGGCGAAGTCTTGTCCAGTCGATCCCTGCACTGTTCATCCCGCCCTCCAAGCTGAAATGCCAGGCTGTGGGATCAGGCTGTAGTTTCTTACCCTGGCACCGCCTAAACCCTAAACCCTAAACCCTACAGCCTACAGCCTACACCCTAAACCCTAAGCCCTAAACCCTAGACCTTAGACCCTAATCCCTAAACCCTTTCAGTCCTGAGGCGTAAAGGCCACGTAGAAGAGGAAGACGAACAGCCAGACCATTGAGATGGCCTCCAGCGGAGCTGCCACTTCCTCCGCGACATGGAGGCATGCGCACCTTCTCTCCCTAAACCAAAGCTGGCGGATGCTGGCTGGATCCCTAAACCCTAAACCCTACACCCTACACCCTAAACCCTAAACCCTAAACCTCACACCCGAAGAGGTGTGTGCAGAGGGCTTACCTTGCTAGAGTTCACAGGTGCGCGCACTTGGCATACAGACAGCAACCACATAGTACCCGAAACCCAGCATGACACTTATAACCCAACTCCCAGCTGGGGATGTTCCCCTTTTACCAACAGTCCTTAATGGGGATTATAGTACCCCCTACTATCATTCCGATCAAGGACTGTTAGTATAAGGGGGGCACATCCCAACTCCCAGCCGCAAAGCCCTAAGCCCCACGAGTGCCTACTATCTGCGAAGGAACCCCCCCCCCCAAAAAAAAAAAAATCAACGAAATTATTCCTTGTAAGGGATTATTATCTTTTGCTTGTGGGGGTTCTTAAGCAAACCCTAACCCTAAACCCTAAACCGCACAAAGGGAGTCATGCAGTAGTGGAAGGGTAAGAAGTCGCGCAGCTCCTCCCAACTCACCCCGCCCGAGATGGCCATAAACAGCGTGAGCCTGAGTTCTCCCAAACACTTGCTTGGAGGTTCACCCTACACCGGGTTTAGGGTTTAGGGTTTAGGGTTTAGGGTTTAGGGTTTAGGGTTTAGGGTTTAGGGTTTAGGGTTTAGGGTTTAGGGTTTCGGGTGGTGATGCCGAGCAAGTATGCGTACAACTTTGTCCTAACGGACCCTTGGTGTTCTCCTGAACCTTCTAGCGCCTGCCGAAGTGCTACAACGTTGTTGAGGCCTTAGGAGTTTTTTGTATAACCGTCAAGGTTGAACTGTGCAAATAAGAGTGGTCAGGTCCGGTTTGAACCGGGGTGCCATGTGGGGCCCACAAGCTTGGAGGTTGTGGTTGCCCAAACCACCAAGAAGACAAGCAAGGCTAAGCCCAAACCCCAAAACCCTCAACCCGAAACCCCAAGCTCCAAGCCCTAAGCCCTAAGCCCTAAGCCCTAAACCCTAAACCCTAACCGGAGATCCCACGACCCAGCTGCATAGTTCGCGGGAGGGTGCTGAAGTACCTGGGCACGACTTTGAACACTGCTTGCCAGTCTAGGAGAGGGGCTCCGGATGCTATTTTGGGCTTCTTGCGAGCCTGCGCGAAGGTTCCCTGAAACCCTAAACCCTAAACCCTAAACCCTAAACCCTAAACCCTAAACCCTAAACCCTACATCCCTAACCCTAACTCGTCGTTTGGATTGTTGTAGGGCCAGTATTCCCTTCGAGGATCTAGAAAAAGGGTCCCCAAACCCCAGGGGTGCAGTCGTGAGGATTCCGAGATAGTGTCCCTTGATTGGAGGCCGTTGGAGCTCGAAGAGCCGAGCGCTCCTGGAGTTTCGGGTTTCGGGTTTAGCGTTTAAGGCTTCGGATTTAGGAAGGACTCTACCTTGGACTGCGAAAGTTGCGCCCTGAGGTTTGGGCACGGTTTAGGGCTTCGGGTTTAGGGACTCTTTTCAGAGGGGCCCCAGAGCATCTTGTGGAAGGCATGCCTTTAAGAACGTACAACCTTGGGGGTCCGAGTTCGGGTCCCTTCAGACCATCCCAGACATCCACACATACCCTGAAGCAGCAACAACCACCCAAGGTAAACAATGCTCAAGCACACACAAACCCTAAACTCTGCTTTGGGGTCCTTCTTGACGGGTGCCGTAGTACATACAGGATTCAAATAGGGACCCAAATAAAGACAACCCTAAGCCCCACATGAAGTAGGGTATAAACTTCTTGTAGCCCCAAAAGGACACCAAATATACACTCACCAATATTAAATCGGAACCTTATATACACTCACCAAAAGCAGAAACATAAACCCTAAACCCCACATCTCGAAGCCACTGCCCGAACGAGGTGCTTGGTGGCGGCGTCTGTGGTCTCGACGGGCAGACTCGATGTGCCCGAGAGGCGATGCTCGCTGACCGCCTCAGCTTGCTGTTTGTAGGGTAGGGGTTAAGGGTCACCCTAAACCCTAAACCCTAAACCCTAAATTAAAAACCCTAAGCCCTAAACCCTAAACCCTAAGAGTTTATGGCTCAGCTTCCAGACGGTGCTAGGGTGTTGGGGTCCTGGAACATACTTTTGGGTCAGTAGGGAATGACGGAAGGGACCTTTCTTCGAATTCCTATTGCGGTTCCTTCAGTGCCCAGCTGGAGTTTTATTGGGTTCTGTTCAAGGGTGGCTTGTAGAAGGTTTCAGGAGCCTTTGCCTGGTTCATGTCAGTCTCTGGGTGTTTTCATCCCTCAACCCTAAACCCCAAACCCTAAAACCCCAAATCCTGAAAAAGGTAGGGAGTGAACGAAATAGAGGAGCCCCAGAATTGAGGGGCGAACCGGAGGACATCCTCGAGATCAAAAGAGGGTCAGCCTGCAGTGGAGTTTACGAAAGTAAGGGAACCCTGAAAACCCTGGGACTCCCAAAACACTGAACCCTAAACCCTGAACCCTAAACCTGAACCCTGAACCCTGAACCCCTTAAGCATGAACTCATCCCTGAACCACCCTGAAAGTCCTGAGGACTCTCTTGTGTCGGGCAGCCTGTGCCAGGAGCACCGAGAAGACGTAGATGATCAGTGCCAGCAAGACTAAAGCCCAGAACAAAGAGCGCAACGTGTACCTTCTCCGGTGCTACAGGGGCCTCTTTAACTAAAATGGGTATGAGTAATTAGTGTATGCAATTTCAATTGTGATGATTATGTGATGAGTTCTCTAAATTATGGTCCCTTTTTGGGTGCCCTAAACAATAGGGGCCGGCATAGCATAAGGACCCCGAAAGGGGACCACCAATTTAGAGAAGTGACCATTTAGGGATTCTAAGGGGATTCAGTCTCCCGTATTGCTACCGTGTTTCAGGTGGGGCTTTCGAGTGCAGGGTTTCAAGGGTCTGGGAGCTCTAGGGTTCATGGGTACATGATCGGGTCGGATTTAGGGTTTAGGTTTTGGGCTTAGGGTTTAGGGTTGGGGTTTGGGGGTTTAGGGTTTAGGGTTTAGGGTTTAGGGTTTAGGGTTTAGGGTTTAGGGTTTAGGGTTTAGGGTTTAGGGTTTAGGGTTTAGGGTCGGGGCGCGGTCTCAAAAGCTTCAACCCCAAAACCCAAGGTTTCCCAAAACCCTTGCCCCCCGCAAACCCCTAGCATCCCCTCAGCCAGGTTCAGGGCACTTATTATCCAACTATCACTGTACTTGTAACCCCACTTATAAGCCACTTAAGTGCCCTAAGATGGTTCTATACAGTTTTGATTGGTTAATAAGACCATGAACCTCCAAGTACCTGAACCCCGAAGCCCTAAACTAAGCTCTTCGAAGCCCTCCACCCAGGGGAGGCGAAGTCTTCCAGGGTTTCGGGATTTAAGGGCTTGGGGGGTCAGGGTTTAGGGGTTTAGGGGTTTAGGGGTTTAGGGGTTTAGGGGTTTAGGGTTTAGGGTTTAGGGTTTAGGGTTTAGGGTTTAGAGTTTAGGGTTTAGGGTTTAGCGGTTCAAGTTTGGGGCCTGGGATTTCGGGGGTTAGTCAGAGGGTCCAGCTGGCTATTCACTACTACAGTTCAACCCCTGGCTCAGCCTAAACCCTAAACCCTAAACCCTAAACCCTAAACCCTAAACCCTAAACCCTAAACCCTAAACCCTAAACCGTAAACCCTAAACCCCTCTCTCAAAACTCAAAGCACAGAGTTCGCAACCAAGTTCAAGGTCCAAGGTGCATAATGGATGTGATCAGGGTCCTCCCAAGGTTTTCAGTGTGTTTTGAGTGTCCAGGGTTTAGGGTTTAGTTTAGGGCTAGGGTTTAGGGTTTAGGGTTTAGGGTGGGTTTTGGGTTTAGGCTTTATAGGGTTTAGGGTTTAGGCTTTAGGGGTTAGGGCTACCGTACCTTGCGACCTTCTGTGCCCCTGGCATGACAAGTGAGACGCCCGTGGATCTCTGGCTCTCTGTGCCTTACAGTAGTTGCCCCAAAACGGACCCTAATTTAGAGAAGTGACTACATATAACCCTAAACCCTAAACCCTAAACCCTAAACCCTAAACCCTAAACCCTAAACCCTAAACCCTATATGTATATTTATATGTGTATGTCCTCGGCCTCCGGCGTTTTCAGGTTTCGGTCCGCCGGCCAGGGGTTCAGGGTTTAAAGGGGTTCAGGGTTTAAAGGGGTTTAAAGGGGTTTAAAGGGGTTTAAAGGGGTTTAGAGGGGTTTAGGGGCTTCGGGGTTTAGGGGTTTAGGGTTTAAAGGGGTTTAGAGGGGTTTAGGGGCTTCGGGGTTTCGGGGTTTCGGGGTTTCGGGGTTTCGGGGTTTAGGGGTTTAGGGGTTTTAGGGGTTTAGGGGTTTAGGGGTTTAGGGGTTTTATGGTTCAGGGCCGAAGGTTTAGGCCCTAGAGTTTAGGGTTCAGGGCCTAGGGCTGAGGGGTGTAGATTGTAGGGTTCATGGCCTAGGGCTTAGGGCTTAGGGTTTAGGGTTTCGGGGTTAGGGTTTAGGGTTTAGGGTTTAGGGTTTAGGGGTTTCGGGGTTAGGGTTTAGGGGTCTTGGGTTTTAGGGTTTTAGGGGGGGGGGGGGGGGCCACCTTGTTACAAACCCTTGTCGCGCCCCTTGTCGCGCCAGCTATGTTTCAAACCTTTGTCGCGTGGCGTTCTAAAAGACGCCCCTTGTCGCAAGCCTTGTCGCGCAAGGCTTGTCGCAAGAACCGGTTTTTGTTAGAAACCCTTTGTCGCGCCGTGCCCGCCCGGGGGCCTCTTACAAGCCTGTTACAAGCCTAGCGTTATCAACGATAGCTCCCTAAACCCTAAACCCTAAACCCTAAACCCTAAACCCCAAACCCTAAACCCTAAACCCCTCCTCAAGGCCATCACGAAGCGGAAGACCCGCACCAGGCGAAGGGTCTTGAGGAAGCCTCGGGCCCCAGTGCTTGGCTTCGGGAGGTCATTTGGAATCAAGGGAACCCTAAACCCTAAAACCTAAACCCTAAACCCTAAACCCTAAACCCTAAACTAGATCCGAATCACCCTCGAAGGCCTCTAGTGAGCCCTTTATGCCCTCTTCAACCCTCTTTCTGAACCCCTAACCCCAAAACTCTATAAACCCTACTAACGAGCCTGCAAGGCCTGCAAATCGTATGAGCCATGAATCGCAAAACCGGTAAGCCGTGAACCTGAAATCCCGAGTGCTGCAGGCGGCGGGTGATACGGATAACGCGGAAGGCCCGCAATCCTGTCCTTGACCAAAAAACACAACAAGACTAGGAGGTCCTACAGTGCCTACAATTCTAGGTTGCCTCAACTGTAGGTCCATGTGTTTTGCGGGGGAACAAAAACCCAAAAAACACCGATTCTTGCATTACAGTGTTCTTCAGGGACGGGGGTTCAAGGGGACTATGTAACCCAAGCTTCCCGAATACTCCCCACTAAGGCTCCCTAAGCTTCCCTTAGATTCCGTAGGTACCTACCCCCCATGAACCCCCCCCCCCCCCCCCGCCAGACGATAAACCCTAAAAGCCCCAAACCCTAAACCCTAAACCCTAAACCCTATACCCCAAACTCTAAACTCTAAACCCTAAACCCTTAAGAACCCCATAGCGGTTTTTAAGGGTTCACAAGCCGGATTGTAGGCCCTCGGAGTTGCTTCGGTGTCTGGGCCTCCAAAGCCAGGGCTTCAGGGCTGTGGCTTTTAGGGTTTAGGGTTTAGGGTTTAGGGTTTAGGGTTTAGGGTTTAGGGTTCAGGGTTTAGGGTTCATATAGAGAGCTTCTTGCCGGTTTAGCCTTATAATGGTCCAAGGCGCTCTCAAACCACACGCCACCTCTAAGGCAAGAGAAAGGTTAAGATCGAAATTCAGGAAACCCTGAACCCTTGAGCACCAACATGAACTTCCAAATATCCGGGGATCTTCTCTATGTGAGAAATACTCTAAACCCTAAACTAAACCCTAAACCCTAAAACCTAAAACCTACCGGCCTATCGGTCACCGTTAACCCTGTGCCGGCCCCGAGTCATGTTCGTCACGCCCTGTGACTCAAGGATGTCAAAGGCCACCTGACAAGGAACGGGGAGTGCAATGTAGGGGCCCCAATACTGAAAATAAGGTGTGTGCGTGTTCATTTGTGTGTGTGTGTGTGTGTGTGTGTGTGTGTGTTTTTTTGTGGGGGGGGGATCATAGTGTGATCATATGGGGGCCTTAATACTCAAAATAGGATTCTGCGGGGGTGTATCATAGCACAATCATATAGGGACCATCAAAAAACACTATGTCGTAAAACGCTCCGACCCCTGTAGTATAGAGTGAAAGGTTTCGTCATTACCGGGTCCTTGAGAGGCCCCTAAACCCTAAACCCTAAACCCTAAACCCTAAACCCTAAAACCTAAACCCTAAACCCTAAACCCTAAACCCTAAACCCTAAACCCTAAACCCTAATGAAGCCCTAAGCCCTAGACCCTAAACCCTACACCCTGAACCCTACCTGACCCCACCCCCCACACAGTCACAGCGAAGGTGCTTGCGTTGGTCGGTCTACCGGTTCAGGGTTTAGGGTTTAGGGTTCAGGGTTTAGGGTTTAGGGTTCAGGGTTTAGGGTTCAGGGTTCAGGGTTTTGTGTTTTGGGTTGAAAGGAGAAAGCAAAACTTGGAGGGGGCAGCTCCCGGAGCTCGTTCTGCTTTGTGCTTAATTCTATTTTTTTCATTTTTTTCTTTTGGGGGGGGGGGGGGAGAGTGGTGGGTTCTCGCGGAAAAATACGAAAAGTAAGCGATTCCCAGTAGCTACAGCATCCGTGGCCCGAATCGTATCTCTTTCAACTTCGCAACCTCAACAGCGCTAAGCACCTGCCTTCTGCATCCCCTGCACAAGCCTCAAAGGAACTTAAAGAAGTCCGAATGTCACAACACCGGCAACAACTTAGGCAATCCGACGGTGCCACTGCAGGAGCTTACGAGACGTACTAGAAGTCCCCGTAGCTCCATCTACATGGGTAGATTTCTAAAGTAGGGTCCCTTTTTGGGATCCCCTCTTAAAGGGTGCCGCCTTACAATGGGTACCCAAAAGGGGACCCTAGTTTAGGAAACTATCCACATTCTCTGTTCCCCGCTCCCCGCCCTTCTCCGACTCTCCCTGGTAAGCACCAGAGAAGCCCCTGAACTTCCACCTCAAAGTCGGGAATTTAGTGCCGAAAGTTCCCCTTCGATCTACCCTTCAAGGTTCATATAGGCCAGCCAATTCCCTGGTTCCCTACCAAGAACCAGCACCACCAGCACTACCCTAAAAGACCCTAAACCCTAAACCAACCCTAAACCCCTAATTAAACCCCAAATCCGAACAACCCTAAAACCTAAACCCTAAACCCCAAACCCCTAAACTTCAAATCCGAACAACCCTAAACCCTAAACCCCATTTGGGCCAAGACTATCGGCCGATCCTCAGTAAGGCTGCTCACGACGACGATCAGGTCCAGCCAGCCCCATGCCCAGTCCTCCATGGATACGAGGGTTTAGGGTTTAGGGCTTAGGGTTTAGGGTTGAGGGTTTAGGGTTTAGGGTTTGCGAAATTCTTGCTGGGTTCCTATCACAAGGATTATAGCATTCAATTGGGCTCTCTAAGGGGTAACCCCCCCCCCCCCTCCCCTTTTGGGACATGCTCATATGGGCTTAGGGCGTTGAGGGCCTACTAGGGCTTCTAGGGTTTGGGGGGATGTTTGGGGCTTAGGACTGAGGGTTTAGGGTTCACTGCAGTGAAAAACCCTAAACCCTAACCTAACCCCTAAACCCTAAACCCTAAACCCGAAACCTTGAAATGAAGCCACCCACGCACAGGGGGTCAAAGGGTATCGTAGGAAGGATGGCTGGTCCTGGGCCCCAAAGCCCCCAAACCCCAGGCGCTAAACCCTGCACTTCACAGCCGAATAAACTCAGGGTTTAGGCTTTAGGGTTTAGGGGTTCTACAATCTCAGCCCCAACCATTGGCCTCCGCGCAGAAGAACCGCAAACCTTCCGCCGCCACTCTTAGCAAAAGCTCGAGCGTGAACAGTCCAGTGTAGACGTACCTAGGGGTTTAGGGTTTAGGGTTAAGGGTTTAGGGTTTAGGGTTTAGGAAACTGGCAGACCTGGGGATGGGCGCAGAGTTTCAAACTCTTAAGTGTCCATAGCCCTGGCCAGAACGAGTTAGGGCTTTCATTGAAGGAGTTAAGGCTTTCCTACCCCACAAGTGTTAAGTTTTTTTTTGGCTGAGGCTACCAGCGGAAGGGCTGAGAGGTTGCTGGATGAGGGCTAGGAACGAGGGCTCCCTTTTTGCAGTTCTGAATCCGACCGCCCTAAACCCTAAACCCTAAACCCTAAACCCTAAACCCTAAACCCTAAACCCTAAACCCTAAACCCTAAACCCCAAACCCTAAACCCTAAACCCTATATAAACCCATGTTGAAGCCCCAGGGGCTGCACCACATAGAAGACCGTCGGTCGCTCCCCCGGGTGTGACAAAGTCTCCTGCACCTCTTTGGGCCGATTCAGGGTTTAGGGTTTAGGGTTTAGGGTTTAGGGTTTAGGGTTTCGGGTTTAGGGTTTAGGGTTTAGGGTTTAGGGTTTAGGGTTTAGGGTCTTCTGAGCTTGAGGATCGGTGTTGTTTAGAGTCTCTAACCACGCCCACACATCTCAAGCAGAGAAACATTTATACTGGAATGTATCTATCCATATATATATATATATACACAGGGAAAAGAATAACAATAGTAATGAATTTTCCTCGTGCTGATGCTACTTGTATATGTATATCAACAAAAAGGTATGAAAATATGAGATTTGCCGCGCAACCTGATCCTCCAAGCTTTGCAACCTGAAAGCCTGCAAGCCGTCCTCTCCTGAACCCAAACCCTAAACCCTAAACCCTAAACCCTAAACCCTAAACCCTAAACCCTAAACCCTAAACCCTAAACCCTAAACCCTAAAACCCTGGCCCGAAACCCTAAACCCTAAGCCCTAACCCTAACCCTAAACCCGAACCCTAAACCCTAAAACCCTGAATCCTAAGCCCTAAACCCCAAACCCCAGAATCTTCGAAAGGAACTCCTTAGGATGGTCTACAACAAGTACGCCGCGACCACCGCCTCAATGCCAATGAAGATGGTATTCGACACCACAAGAAACGCGAAGAAGGTGTCGAACACCTGGTAGCTAGGGTTAGGGTCTCGGGGCTTTAGGGCCTCCTGGGCCCAAACCCTAAACCCTAAACCCTAAGCCCTAAACCCTAAACCCTAAACCCTAAACCCTAAACCCTAAACCCTGAACCCTGAACCCTGAACCCTAAACCCTAAACCCTAAACCCTAAACCCTAAACCCTAAACCCTAAACCCTAAACCCTAAACCCTAAACCCTAAACCCTGGCCGGGGGAGAGGGAAGGCACATCCTGAGTTCTGAAGCGTCCAGCAAACGTCAATGTCTAAACGGTAAGGAGACTCGCAACTCAACAAACAGGGTTTAGGGTTTAGGGTTTAGGGTTTAGGGTTTAGGGTTTAGGGTTTAGGGTTTAGGGTTTAGGGCTTAGGGTTTAGGGTTTAGGGTTTAGTTGGATTGGAGCCGCTTATGACTCGCATGAGCTCGAAGTTTGAAGATCTTCTTGCCAAGGGTGCTCCGGGACAATCGAGATTGTGGGTAGGAGGGTTTTCCCGAAACCCTAAACCCTAAACCCTAAACCCTAAACCCTAAACCCTAAACCCTAAACCCTAAACCCTAAACCCACAAAGGAAGCGCAGCCAGGAAGCTGGGTGGCTGGTGAGCCGACCCAAACAATTTTGCCTGGAGGACTGGCAAGGCAAAGCGGGGGGTTTTAGGGCTTAGGGTTTAGGGTTTAGGGCTTAGGGTTTAGGGCTTAGGGTTTAGGGTTTAGGGTTTAGGGTTTGGGGTCTTCTGCAGTTGCGAATGTAGCTAGTGGTTGTCTGCGGCCGCAAAGAACCCAGGTGTCACATCCCCGTCTAAAACCCACCTCATGGTAACTTAACCCACACTTAAAGGGCTCAGCGTCACAAAGTGTCCCTAAACCTTAACCCCGAAACTTCAAGCCTCAACCCTCAACCCTAACCCTAAACCCTAAACCCTAAACCCTAAACCCTAAACCCTAAACCCTAAACCCTAAACCCTAAACCCTAAACCCTAAACCCTAAGCCCTAAGCCCTAAGCCCTAAACCCTAAACCTAAACCCTAAATCCTAAACCCGAAACCCTGAGCCCTAAACCCTAAATCCTAAACCCCAAACCCGAGCCTTTCTTCCAATATGCCCTCGGAGGAGCTGCGCGCCTGCCAGGACTGCACGTTCAAGATAGCCTTTGGGGTTTGGGGTTTAGGGCTTGAGGTTTAGGGTTTCGGGTTTAGGGTTTAGGGTTTGGGGTTTAGGGTTTGGGGTTTGGGGTTTGGGGTTTGGGGTATGGGGTTTAGGGTTTAGGGTTTAGGGTTTCGGGTTTAGGATTCAGGGTTTGGGTTTAGGGAATTTGAGGTTTCGACCATTTTGGGGGCCTCCAGGCAGGCACATCCCAAAGCCCCCCAAAAGATCCGTCGCCTGGAAGAGGCGCCGCGTGCGCTTGCTGTCCACATCGGCGGCCCGCTGTTTCAGAGCGAGATCCGCCTTTCTCAGGTGTCTGGGTCCCCCAAACCCGGAACCCTGAACCCTAAACCCTAAACCCTAAACCCTAAACCCTATGATCTTGGTCTTGGGGTTCAGGGTTTAGGTGTTAGGGTCCAGGATCGAGTCGGTCTCAGGGTGGCCAGAACGAGGATGAGAAGCAAATAGGGGACTAGATCCTGAACACAGACTCGGAGAATCCTAGACGCCATAGGCTGTGCGGCCTAGGAAACCGGAACCTTAAACCCTTTCAACCCAAGGCCCTAACCACCTGCCTTTTGCCTGTGAAAGGCTCTCCCGATCTTCTCATGTTTGTCACGCTAAACCCTAAACCCTAAACCCTAAGCCCTAAGCCCTAAACCCTAAACCCTAAACCCTGAACCCTGAACCCTAAACCCTAAGCCCAAGAAGCGTACCCAAAGCCCCAAAGCCTAAACCCCAAAACCCAAACCCTAAACCCTAGGCCCTAAACCCTAAACCCCAAACCCTAAACCCTAAGCCCTCCTGCCTGCGTGAAGGTGTGAAAGATGGGGCGGAAGGAGCGCTTGCGCTGCAGGGGGCATGTGAGATGCAGGTTTCGTCAGGGCTTGCGAGGCGGTTTGGGTTAGGGTTATAGGTTTTAGGGTTTAGGGTTTAGGGTTTGGGGTTTAGGGTTTAGGGTTTAGGGTTTAGGGTTTAGGGTTTAGGATCGGGTGTCTATAGGTTTAGGGCTTCCAGACGTTGGGTTCTGTGTTTTCAAGGGCTTTGTCTTGGCTGCTTCGGCTTCAGAACGGCATTCCTAAACCCTAAACCCTAAACCCTATAAACCCTAAAAACCCTATAAACCCTAGAAACCCCATGAAACCCTATAAAACCTATAAACCCTATAAACCCCATGAAACCCTATAAACCCTATAAACCCTATAAACCCTAAACCCTAAACCCTAACCCTCCCTCTCTCTCTCTGCCACTCGGGACATGCTCAGTGCGCTACTTCGAGCTTCTTACCAATTTGTATCAACGCCAAGAGGCGAATGGGGTTGCGGCGTTCGGAAGCTTGGAGCATAAGACAGGCTGACCCCAAAACCCCTAAACCCCTAAACCCCTCAACCCCTCAACCCCTCAACCCCTCAACCCCTAAAGCCCTAAACCCCTAAATCCCTCAACCCCCTAAATCTTAAACCAAGGACTCGAGCTCAACACCCTCAAAGTCAGAGCACCAACTAGGCGCACTACCTTGGGATGCTCCCCTTGTACTAACAGCCCTATAATCCCTGTTAAGGACTGTTCGTATAGGGGCGAACATCCCAAGCAAACACCCTAAACCCTAAACCCTAAACCCTAAACCCTAAACCACCAAACACCAAACCACCAAACCCCAAACCCTAAAGACCCCGAAAGATGCCTTCACGCCATTGGTGTCGGTGGTGTGTGCCGTGGCGTGGGAGAACTTGGAAACGCGGGGCTTCCGGCGTTCATCTTCCGACTGCTCTGTCGGCGACGGCGCTTCCTCCGCCGCCTGCTTCAATACTCTCGCGCGTGCTGGAGTGCGAAGGGTTCTTAGATCGATTTTGGGGGGCTTCTGACCGGATACCTTGCTGACTCTCCGATAGCATCTAGTAGAGTGGGCAAAGCGCGTTTAGGACACCGTTCTTGTGAGGCCTTCCACTTTCTATAGCCACTATCGAGATCCGAAGACCTTATGGGATTTTCATGGATTTTCCCTTGAAGTGGGGTTTTGCTTTATTATTACCCCCGAATACAATAGCATCCTCCTAGAAGGCCCCCAGGAAAGGTTTTGACGTCTATAGATGTCAGAAACCTTTTCATCAAAGTCCCCTAGTTTCGGAAACCCCCACATCTCAAGAAGCTAGCGGAGCCTGGACGAAACGAGTCCAGCATTTTGTGCGCACTTCGCTCACGTCGGATATTGTGGTCCTACTCTGGGCGTTGTTGCCAACAGGGCCTGCAAGTTCTATCGACGCCGTCGCTGGAAGCATTTCTCTTCTCAATCCCGGTGCAACAGAAGCAGCATCTCAGGAGGATTGCACTGTTCTGAGTCTTAAACCCCAAGTGCACCTCAACAAAAGTACTGCGAATGAAGGGACCGGGGGGGGGGGTGAATCTTGCAAACCCTCCGGGCAGAGCCCTTAAGGTCTGGAGGCGACTTTTCTCAGGGTGGCATATTGGACCCATTGGAGAGCTTTGAGTTTAAAGCTCTCTTGCCTTTCGTGATCTCAGAGCTGAAGAACCTCTAGCATTGTGGCCAAACCCTAAACCCTAAACCCTAAACCCTATACACAGTGACCTCTGATCCATACCATGATCCCTGAGCAACGAGTAACAGATCACCGAACCCCATCCTAACAAGTTTATCTCGGCGCTAAAAACGGTACCACCGCAAAACTGCCCACTTTCCGAGACAAACAAGGTTAATCTTGGGCATTTCAGGGGGGTCATTGGGTATTCGAAATGGCCAAGACGCTGCCTACTCGGCACCTGCAAAAATTTCCCCCATCCTCCTGCCTCAGATCAGGTTTGCTATGAGTATCATCATAGGTCATTGGTTTCTTCAGTAAACGAAAGGGTTTCGCTATTGTTGCAGCCAATGATTTTGGGATCAACTACCTAAACTGTAAACCCTAAACCCTAAACCCTAAACCCTAAACCCTGAACCCTGAACCCTAAACCCTAAACCCTAAACCCTAAACCCTAAACCCTAAACGCTAAACCCTAAACCCTAAACCCTAAACCCTAAACCCTAAACCCTAAACCCTAAACCCTAAACCCTAAACCCTAAACCTCTCTTTCATATATAATTTAAATGTTAAGGAGTTACTGGGCAAGGTCATTTTTTACTGGGCAAGGTCATTTTTTTACTGGGCAAGGTCATTTTTTTACTGGGCAAGGTCATTTTTTTACTGGGCAAGGTCGTTTCGTCCAAAAAAACGACCTTGCCCAGTAAAAAAATGACCTTGCCCAGTAAAAAAATGACCTTGCCCAGTAAAAATGTTACTGGGCAAGGTCATCTTTTTACTGGGCAAGGTCATCTTTTTACTGGGCAAGGTCATCTTTTTACTGGGCAAGGTCATTTTTTTACTGGGCAAGGTCATTTTTTACTGGGCAAGGTCATTTTTTTACTGGGCAAGGTCATTTTTTTACTGGGCAAGGTCATTTTTTTACTGGGCAAGGTCATTTTTTTTACTGGGCAAGGTCATTTTTTTACTGGGCAAGGTCATTTTTTTACTGGGCAAGGTCATTTTTTTTCTGGGCAAGGTCATTTTTTTACTGGGCAAGGTCATTTTTTTTACTGGGCAAGGTTATTTTTTTACTGGGCAAGGTCATTTTTTTACTGGGCAAGGTCACCGACAGCCTGGCTGGGTGAGACTTCTGTGGTACACATCTAAACCGCATTGACGGCTGAGATGGAGCAACTGTACACACGGCACCGAGATTGCTTAGGAACCACGAGGCTTGGGCCTTCGCAGCTGCTTGTGGCAGCCGCTGAGCACCCAAATCCATGCCAGAACTCCAAGCATCAAGACGATTCTAGCAAGCAGCGCTCGACCGAGCAAAACCGACACTGAGGGTCGCGGACGGAAGACGCAGCAGGGCCCGTCAACCGCCCCCCCCCACTACGCCGGGTCCTCCCGAGCGCAGCTCCGTGCTTCCAGGAAGGCGCGGAAATCCTTTGCCTCCAGCATCGCCACTTCCAAAGTGCACAGTCATGGACAGACATTTACACAGGGTCGTGGGCCCGTGTCGTACTGTACGAGCGGGCGTCCACATCTACCCAGTACACCCCCAGTAGACCGGGTCTCCCCCAGCGCAGCTCCATGCTGCTTCCAAGCATCATGTCTCCGCAGCTTCAGCGCGGCGGCGCAGGGCCGCCCGCGCCCGATAGGCACGGATCAGAACGCACAGCTCCTGCATGAGGGCGGAATGTGCACGCTGGGGCTCCTCGCCAGTCCGCGCAGCCACAGCCCGCGCAATGTGCTGGAGGACGATGCCCGCACCTTTGTCCCACGTGCCTGTGGATTCCACCACCATCGGCACAAACACCACGCCCTGGCCCTCACAGGCCTGCGCAGTGCCCAAGTGCGCTTCCTTGTGGCGGGCGTAGGCAGCAGCCGCCGCGCCTGTCTCCCTGCCTGCCAGTGCTAGGGTCTCCTGCCGCTGAGGCGCTGTAACAGCGAAGTCAAGCGCAGCGGGAGACCCAGCAAGGGCAGGCAGAAAGACATCGGCAGGGCGACGTCTGCCTGTCTGCGTGTCTTCAGGGCAAGTGGGCAGCAGAAGGTTCGGGCGCTCCTTCTCCGGCCGAAGGCCAGCCCGCTCAGCCCAGGAACACACAAGATCACGGACAGCGTTGTGTCTCAGAGTCCGTTCGCCGCCAGCCACACACATGCCAGCGTGGTAGCCCCAGCAGTCCAAGACCCCATCGCAGCGAGGACACCAGCAATCATCAGTGGCTTCGGGCACCCCCAGGCGGATTCGCAACTCGGCAATGAAGGCGGCAGGCTCCATGCGCGTGCGTCCTGAGGGCATGGCGTTGAGGAAGGCGCGCGCCCCCAACCCCGCTTCAGAGTGAAGGGCAGCCCGAGCGACGTGGCTGCTGTGTTCAAGCTGGGCAGCGAAGCAGGTGGAGTCCAAAAGCTGAGACAGGTCGCGTTGCTTGCTTTGCAAAGCAGCAGCAAGCGTAGCAACCCGACTGCCCACGGCGTTCTGGAACAGGTGGAAAGCCCCGACCACATGGTTCGAGGTTTGAACGGCCTCCTTTGAGAAGTTGGGGTCGAGGTCACTGCAGTGTTCCAGGGAGGCCCCCACCGAGGCCAAGTAGGCAGCAGGCGCATGGGCAGAGCAAGAGCGCAGCCCAAGCCCCGCGTGCGCGAGCCCTCGAGAGGCTTGCAACCACTGCTCAGCAGTAACATGGATGCCAGTGAGACCACCGAGGCACCGCCGCACCAGCCCATCAAAGTGGGCCAAAGCTGCAGCCTGAGCTGCAGGCGGGTTACAGCGCATGCTGTGAACCATGCGGCAGAAGCCGGCGCACGCCCGCAGCAAGCGTAGTCCCACCTGGGGGTCCTCAAGCTCGGCCAGCGCCTCCAGCAATTCACCCGCTTTTTCTGCCCGCGCCAGGGTGTGTGTCTGGATGAAGTCATCGTCCCCAATAGCGGCCCCCAGGAACTCGAAGTTCCTGAGCACTCTCCCAGAACCATCAGCATGGAGCAGCAGGGCAGCCGGGAAACTTGCGCGCATGATGCCCTCATCAATAGGTCCCAAAGCCACAACTTCGCACTTACGCAGGTTGAGTTGCAGTCCAATTGCGGAGGCCTGCTGCTGGACCAGGGTCAGAGCAGCACTGACCGCGGCAATGTCACCGGCAAGCACACCGTCATCCAGGAAGTGCATTGCAATGTCCAGGGTCCTGCCCTGGTGGAGTGGCTGGCGAGAGGCTGCAAGGCAGCCGCGAACGGCAGCGGCCCGAGCGGGTCGCCCTGCTGAACACCAGAGCAGGACTCCAGGGTGCGAGCTCCAAACTGGAGCCGCGTGTGTTGCCGGTAGCACCAAGTAACCCAGCGTGCCAGAGCAGGGAAGCGGTTTGTAGTTTCATCAAGTACGGTGTCCCGGTGGACACAGTTGAAGGCATTGGCAAAGTCCAGTTTGACCAAAACCTTGCGAGAAGAACCCGCGTGGCGGTTAGTCCAAGCCCGCAGAACATGGACCGCTTTCTCTGCACCTCCTTTGACCGCGACCCCAACCTGAGCCGGCCAGAAATAGGCGCGAGCCTCATCACGGACCAGACTCATCAGGCACTTGCCAGTGAGCCGGCGCAGGAGCTCACCCACAGCAATGGGCCGGACGCCCCCGCTGGCCTTCGGCAGTGCGACCAGCCCAGCCCCGGCCAGCACAGGGGCGACACTAGGCGGAGCACGTCCTTGAGCAAGAACATTGACGACAGCAGTGAGCTGCGAGAGGAAGGCCTCATGTCCGCCAGCAATGCAGGCGTCGCGCAAGTGCTGCACACGGAGGCCAGTGGGCCCCGGGGCTGTTTCAGCAGGAAAAGCACGCAGGCAGCGGGCCACCACCTCAGCCGCGACTTCAGGCGCAAGAGGAAGTTCCTGCGGCGGTCGAGCTGCGGGAGGAGCTCTCTGGGGATGAAGGAGTTCCAAAGCCCGAGCAGTCTCAGCGTTGTCAGGGCATAAGCCTTTAGACAACAAGGCCGCGCAGGCTTTTCTGTCGAACCCCTCCCTTCCCCACGCTTCAGCCAGGCCTCGCCGCTCCTCAGGCGTGGGCACTGCAGAACACCGCTGGCGGTGCTGTGGGCGCGTGTCCCATAAGGACCTGCGCTCCCCCTCCTGCCATCGCTGCATGCGATCCAGGACGAAAGCAGCGACGGCTCTCGCGTGCTTCTTCCCCCGTCGCGCTGGCGCGCAGAGTACACTTTGCGGCAGCATGAGTAGCTCGCGCCAGGCTTCCTCATCATTGCGATGCGCAACAGCAGCCAAGGCACGAGCGAGAAGCTGGTTCCAGAGGTGGCGTGCTTTGGCGGGGACGTGGCGCAAGGTGGCAGTCCGGGCTGCCTGAATGGCTTCAAAGGACGGCAAGTCCAGATCATCAGTATCCATGGGGTCGCCCTCAGCGACAGCAGCAGCCCGAGCAGCAGGGCGGCATGTTGGATGGATGCCAAATTTTTCTGACACACTAAGGCCACAAACCAAACACCGGGTGCGTCCATTGGCTTGCAGCCAGGCCTGTGGCACCTCGCCACCTGCTGCCCCAGCGAGGTGAGCGTCGATGTGCGAGCGCATAGCGGCCACATTGGCCCACCCTCGGGCCCGGGCAGCATCCGAGCATGGGCAGATGGACACGGGGCAGTAAACCCTACCGACTGCCTTGGCACTTGCAACTCGTGCAGCCGGTTGAGCAGCAGCCGCAGGCCCGGGGGCGGAGCCCGCGCGAGGAGGAGAGCGCTCACGAGGAGGCCGTTCTCCGCCAACAGGCGTGCCCGGTTCAGGTCCCGGATTGCTTGCTTCCCCCACCCTCTTCCCACGATACGGCCAGCCAGACCAGCGCCGCATGCGTCTCCGAAACCAAGCCCCACGTCTACCTTTCCAGATGACAGTGCGGGCAGGGGCCTTCAGGCCCAGCAGCGGGTCCCAGGTAACCCACGCAGCTGGCTGTTGGGCATTCAACATGGCGGTGAAGGCTCGACGCTCTTGGCGGCCCAAACTTGCCGGCAGCCCGTCCAGCTCACCTTCCTCTTCAAGGTCATTTTTTTTTACTGGGCAAGGTCATCTTTTTACTGGGCAAGGTCATTTTTTTACTGGGCAAGGTGGGCAAGGTCATTTTTTTACTGGGCAAGGTCATTTTTTTACTGGGCAAGGTCATTTTTTTACTGGGCAAGGTCATTTTTTTACTGGGCAAGGTCATTACTGGGCAAGGTCATTTTTTTACTGGGCAAGGTCATTTTTTACTGGGCAAGGTCGTTTCGTCCAACAGTGTTTAGGATTTCCGGGCCTAATGGTTAGGGTTTCAAGGCCTCACGGCCTGGTGTTTAGGGTTTCAGGGCCTCAAGGCCTGCTGTTTAGGGTTTCACGGCCTCACGGCCTGGTATTTAGGGTTTCAGGGTTTCAGGGCCTCAAGGCCTGGTGTTTAGGGTTTCAGGGCCTCAAGGCCTGGTGTTTAGGGTTTCAAGGCCTCAAGGCCGGGTGTGGCTTGTGTTAAGTGCTTGGTACTACGGCGTGATTGGTGCATCCGAAGAGAAAATAGGTAACCTTCTATTTTCTTAATGTTATGGGATTCTTTGGGCGGGTGGGTTTTTTTTCCGTTGCCTGAACACACTACTGGCCTAGTAAATGCTCGAACTTGAGATGCTGAACCCTAACCCTAAACCCTAAACCCTAAACCCTAAACCCTTTCCTTGGTCCGGCCTCCGGCTTGGCGCCAAGCTTCGGCGACTCCGCCCTGGGACCCGGAACTGCCGGAACCGTCGGCAGGGGCGGCTTCGTCCCCCGGCGCAAGAGCTCCTCCTGCCGTTTAGGGTTTAGAGTTTAGGGTTTAGGGTTTAGGGCTTAGGGTTTAGGTTTTAGGGTTATTTAGGGTCACATATTGGCGAAGGTTTGGGATGCGTTGCGACATGCGCAGAGCAACCATGGCCCGGTTGTGGAGGGCCATCTAGCACTGTTATCCCACCGCAGGCGGCAAAAGTACCCTGAGTTGATGGGAATCATGGGGTACGTCATGAGTCGCCCCGGATTTGATGATTTCTCAGAATGGTCCAACATACCCCAAACCCATACCTCTTAACCTATGAAAGGAGAGTCGGAGAGTATAAGGAAGGATTTTGCCATACCCGTTGATTGCCTTTAAGGGTTTTACCCAAGGGGTATGTTGAATCTTTCTTAGATTCTTACGACGGTTTCCGGCTTCGGGGCTTCGGGCTTAGGGTTTGCGGCAGCGCCTGTTGCTGGCATTGCGGGTGGTCGTTTTCTTGTTTGCTGGACCCGTATCAGCTTATTTAGGGTGTAGGGGTAGGGTTTAGGGTTAGGGTTTAGGGTTTAGGGTTTAGGGTTTAGGGTTTAGGGTTTAGGGTTTAGGGTTTAGGGTTTAGGGTTTAGGGTTTAGGGGGTTTAGGGTTTAGGGTTTAGGGTTTAGGGTTTAGGGTTTAGGGTTTAGGGTTTAGGGTTTAGGGTTTAGTAAACCCTAAACCCTAAACCCCTAAACCCTAAACCCTAAACCCTAAACCCTAAAAACCCTAAACCCTAAACCCTAAACCCTAAACCCTAAACCCTAAACCCTAAACCCTAAACCCTAAACCCTAAACCCTAAACCCTAAACCCTAAACCCTAAACCCTAAACCCTAAACCCTAAACCCTAAACCAAACCCTAACTGGCCTTCTATTTTGGTAAAAGGACACATGCATGCATGCATGGTACTGTGCCAGTTGCCACGCAAGAGTCTGAGTGTGTACATGTCTTTAAATTACACCATACTGAGCTGCATTGACTTGTGCTGCAACGCACTGCGCCATGCATGCAGCTCGTGCATGGATGCACATGCCGCTCATGCCCTGAACCCTAAGCGGCCCTAAGCCCTAAGCGGCCCTAAACCCTAAACGGCCTTAAACCCTAAACGGCCCTAAACCCTAAACGGCCCTAAGCCCTAAACCCTAACCCTTGACCCTAAACCCTAAACCGACCCTTAACCCGAAACCCTAAACCCTAAACCCCAAACTGCAAGGAAGGGGGAGTACCTGCTTGTCGAAGCGGTTCATGACATCTCGGTGCAGAAGCTCCAAAAACTCCCGCAGCTCGAACTGGATCATCTCCTCCGTACGACAAGGTGTTTAGGGTTTAGGGTTTAGGGTTGGGGGTTTGTAGGGTTTAGGGTTAGGGTTTATGGGGTTTAGGGTTGAAGGGTGAGGGTTTATAAGCTTATTACGTCCAAAATTCAGAACCCGAACTGGCAGGGTTAGGGAGCAGCTATGGGTGCCCCCAATCATCAACACTACACTCACGTAGAGTTTTTGGTTTAGGTTCAGGCCCTAAACCCTAAACCCTTAACCCTAAACCCTAAACCCTAGGGTTCAGGGTTTAGGGCTTCGGGTTTCGGCGGCGTTTTGAAGCCCCACTGAAAAAGCCAAAGCCTGAGGAATATCTGGCCACGTTGACAACACTCCATGCTACAAGGCTTCATCAAGCCCTACAGGCCCTAAACCCTAAACCCTAAACCCTAAACCCTAAACCCTGAACCCATAAACCTCAACGCTGGTCCCGGAACCCTCCGAGGTTAGTTTCACGGGCTCTTAATGTGGTCCCTAAAATCTTCCGATGTATGGGCCCGAAATTTGCAGAGGGCATATAAGGGGGTACCCGTTTAAGGGCCCATACTATAGCTACCGTTTCCCCTAAACCCTAAACCCTAAACCCTAAACCCCAAACCCGAAACCCTAAACCCTCCTCAACCTCAAGCCTAAGCCCAAGCGGCGTGGCCCGGGCTGGCCGGAAGCGACAGCTTGGGCGGGTTCGGCCCCCCGTCGTCCATGTCGGCCACGCTTTTCATATGCAGGCCCTAAACCCTAAACCCTAAACCCTAAACCCTAAACCCTAAACCCTAAACCCTAAACCCTAAACCCTAAACCCTAAACCCTAAACCCTAAACCCTAAACCCTAAACCCTAAACCCTACACCCTAAACCCTAAACCCTAAACCATGGCCATATGGCGTTTAGGTTTTAGACCCTTAGGATTCGGGCTTTAGGGTTTAGGACCCTTGGGTTTGGGTTTAGGGTTTAGGGTTTTGGGTTTAGGGACCCGGCTAACTAGACGGAGGGACGTGGGCTGGCAAGGGGGACGATCTCGGTAGTTGTCCGGTGTTAAATGTAGGAGCTGAGCCCAGTTTGGGAAAATCACTTAGGGTTTGGGGTTCAGGGTTTAGGGTTTAGGGTTTAGCATTTCAGAGCCTCAGGCTTCTCTAGGGATGGGTGATGTTGGGGAGTCTTGGATTTTGCCCTCGACTCCTGCCGAAATGAGCTGCCATGCATGGGTCAGCCAAGCAGAGCTCAGCAGTTGCCCTCAGCAATTTAGGCCTCAACCAAGTGTGGGTTTAGGGTTTAGGAATTAGGGTTTAGGGTTTAGGGCTTAGGGTTTAGGGTTTATGTTTTAGGGTTTAGGGTTTAGGGTTTAGGGCCCCGAATCCAAGCGTCATGTCCCGCACAAGCCCTTCGTTATAATGGTTGCACGTGGGGGTCACCGAACATGGCGTACCCTTTTTGAGTGTCTCTTTAAGGGGATTCTATTCTGTTTGGGGTATAAAATGGCGTACCCCTACTTTGGGAAATACCCACATGGGAAGCTTATCTTAAGACGGTTTAGGGTTTAGGGTTTGGGGGAGGGGGGACGGGGAGGGGCAACCGTAGTATGAACGTAGGAGCACCCAGGTAGCGTACCTTGAAAAAACACTAGACTCAATCCAAAGCTCTGACACTTCAACACCTCAACAGCCCGAAACGAGAAAAACCAAAACAAAACGGTATAGTGTTTGATCTCTCGGGCGCTGGGCTCCGCAAGCACCAAACCCCATGCCCAGCCCTAAACCCTGTGGTTTTTTGCAAGGGCAGCAGTTGCTTTGGAGAGCGCATGCTACTCTCCTGGGCCCGCCAGTAGTGCCTTCGGCAGAAAAATCGGGGGTACTTAGAATCTTGACTCCCTGAGCCCTGTAACCCTAGAGGCCCCAAGGCCCTCAGGACCCTCAACCCCAAAACCCAAAACCCAAAACCCTACACCCTACCCCCTCGCCATCCTCCGCCAAAGGGATGGCTGCCTTCGCGGCTGGTGCTTTCCCCTTGCTCTCAGCCACGCCCCAGAAACTTTGGGGTCCCCGGAAAGAAACCCTATGTAACAGGGTCGAGGCAGCTCCACTGGAACTGGAGGTCATAACCTTCTGAGCCTTGAACGAAGGGCTGGCAAAAACCAAGGAGCCTGCTGACGAAGCCCTAAACCCTAAACCCTAAACCCTAAACCCTACACCCTAGTCCTTCCAAGATTCTTGAACCTGAAGCCCCTATATGGGGGTTTCCGAACTTAGAGGTACCTGATTCGGGTCGCAATGATAAGGGGATCCTACAATTTTGGGGGGAGGGGGGGGGGGGGGGGGGGGGGGTGGGGGCTTTTTTTGGGTCGCCTATTTTCTTCAAACCCCCCACACTTTGGGACAGTGAGATCGCATCTTTCGAAGTGGGTGGTCATGGGGTTAGGGTTAGTGATGGTCAGCGCTTTCGAAGCTAATGTTACACAGGACCCCTATAGGCCCGATGCATCTTCTCGACACCTTCAGTGGCGCCACCTCGACCATGGACGGCTCAAACCCTAAACCCTAAACCCTAAACCCTAAACCCTAAACCCTAAACCCTAAACCCTAAACCCTAAACCCTAAACCCTAGGGGAGGAAGCCGCAAGGTGTTTTGCACTCCTTGCGCGCGTCCTGTGCATGGCACAGCCTCACCCCGCGCCAAGCGCCTCCGAATTAGCCACTGGTTCCCAGGAATGCCAAATTATAGAGAAAGGGTTTAGGGTTTAGGGTTTAGGGTTTAGGGTTTAGGGTTTAGGGTTTAGGGTTTAGGGTTTAGGGCTAGGCTCTAAACCCTAAGAAACCCAATTAACCCAAAAAGGGTAAGGATCTAAAGTTACAGTAAAGT